TGTTCAGGATTTCTACTTCTTCCTGATTGAGCCTTGGGAGGCTACGGAAAACAGTACAGACAGAGATTCCTCAAATAAATAAAGTAGACCTACCATTTGATCTAGCAATCCCACTACTGGGTATTTACCCAAAGGGGGAAAAAGTCATTTTATCAAAAAGACACTTGTACTAGAATGTTTATTGCAGCACAATTCACAATTGCAAAGATGTGGAATCAACCCAAGTGCCCATCAATTCATGAGTGGATTAATAAAATGTAGTATATGATACCATGGAGTACTACTCAGCCATAAAAAATGAATTAATGCCTTTTGCAACAATCTGGATGGAACTGGAGACCATTCTCCTAAGTGAAGTATTGCAAGAATGGAGAAGCAAACATCACATACACTCACTTTTAAATTGGAACTAACCAATCAGCACTCATTTGCACAGATGGAAGTAAAACTCAACAGAAATCAGGCAGGTGGGAAGGGTGTCCAGGGATGGGTAAAATCATACCTAATGAGTACAATTTACACTATCTGGGTGATGAGCACACTTATAACTTTGACTCAAGCAGTACAAAAGCAATCAATGTAACCAAAATATTTGTACCCCAGTAATATTCTGAAATTAACAAAACTAAAATATCAGCTCTTTAAATAAACTTGAAGTTGATCTAAAAAGAAATCTTTTAAGTAAATCAATTGATTTTAAAAATCAATTATATTGTTTCATAATTACTTAAATTTATATGCTATCTACAATTACTTGATAACATGCTAACACGTGATAATGATCAAGTAATTACATAATAATATTTGTTTTTCTAGAGATAAATATCAAAGTATTAGGGGCAAAATGACATGATGTCATGGATTTGCTTTAATATGCCATAGTGAAAAATGGTGTAGTAAAACAAGTTTGGCAAAATTGAATCTGGGGAACAGGTATATGAGTTCAACACACTAGTCTCTGCTACTGTGAATTTTAAAACTTTCATAATTAAAAGTTTAAAAAGAAAAAAATATATAAGACATCACAAGTTCACACTGGTGTCTTTGATTCCAATCCACCCATAGGGTTCCTTCTTGCCTTCCTCCATTCCATATTTTGATGTTTCCTTTCCCATAATGAGAACTCTGGCTCCCAAAACAGCAATAGCACATTTCCTCAATGTGCCCAATCCCACTACATCTAAACGACTTTCACAATTGCTTCACACATTTACTACAAGATAAATAAAGTATATATACTAAAAAGAGTTCAAGAGTTGGTTGCAATTCTCCCCTACTCAACCTTACCCAAGACTGATAGATACCCAAGCACTGTGTTCATGAGTTGCTTGGATTTGTTCTTTCTTTTGTTCCTCCCCTGTCTGTGTATTTACAGCATTCATTTGAAACACAATTAAGCTCATTTGTTTCCGTTTACTTTCAGTTTCAGGATTTTTTTCCCCCTTCCCATCTTGTTTTAATTTTATTTTTGAATATGTAGAACATTCACATGCTTCCCAAAGTCACACTATACAAAAGGGAGGTTCTCAGAGAAGTGTCACTCCCTCTGGAAGCACTTCCATGCCCTCCCTCCAGTAAATAATCAACTTCATTGCTTCCTGGTTTATCCTTCCTGTGTTTCTTTTGGAAGTAATAAGTAAATATGTGAGTTTTGTTTCACCTTCTTTCTTACACAAAAGACAGTAGGCTATTCTGCGCTTTAAATTTTTTTAGTTAATATTTCCTGGAAATCATTCCATATCTATCAGTTGATAGAAATCTCCCTGATTTTGTTTTGCTTTATTTTGTTTTGTTTTGTTTATAGTTGCACAATACTCCATTGTGTGTATGCACCATATTTAATTCAACCAATTTCCTATGTTTGGGCAGTTGGGTACTTTCCAGTATCTTACAATTACAAATAATGTAATGAATAAGTTTTGTGCACATACATTTTTATATTGTTGGAGGTGTATCTTCAGGTTAAATTCTTAGAAGTAGGATTTCTGGGTCAAAGGATAAACGCACATGTAGTTTTGTTAGATGTTGCCAAATTCTCCTCCATAGATGTGCATTTTGGACTCCACTGGCAGTGTGCGAGAATGCCCGTTTCCCACAGCCTCATCAACAGTGTAGTGTAGTGTCAAGAGTGTAGTGTCAGCCTTGTAATTTTGCCAATCCGATGGATGAGAAGTGATATCTCAATCTAGTTTTAATTTGCATTACTCTTATTACAAGTAAAGTTGAATATCTTTTCACATATTTATATTTCCTATATTTAGGGCCATTTACAATTTGTGAATTGTCTGCTACTCAGGTTTGCCCATTTTCCCATAGGAATTTTGACCTCTTTTTTTATCTCTTAATTTTTAAAAGTTCTTTGTCTATTAGGGATATTAACCTTTTATCTGTATTATCTTTTATCTTTTATATGTATTACAAATATTTTCTCCTGGTTTGTGACTTGGTTTTGGTTTTGTTTACGGTGATTTTTGCCATGAAGAAGTTTGGGTTTCTTTTTTTCTATGTAGTCAAATTTTTCAGTCTTTTCTTATCAAGTATCTGGATTTTTAATCATAGCTAAAAAGACTTTATTTCCACCTAGGTTGTAGAGCAATTTATTCATGCTTTCTTTTAGTACTTATGTAATATCATTTTAAGAATTCAGATCTCTTAGTTCATTTGGAGTTTATTCTTTTTTTTTTTTTTTTTTGAGACAGATTCTCGCTTTGTTGCCTAGGCTAGAGTGAGTGCCGTGGCATCAGCCTAGCTCACAGCAACCTCAAACTCCTGAGCTCAAGCAATCTTTCTGCCTCAGCCTCCCGAGTGGCTGGGACTACAGGCATGCGCCACCACGCCGGCTAATTTTTTCTATATATATTAGTTGGCCAATTAATTTCTTTCTATTTTATAGTAGAGACAGGGTCTCGCTCTTGCTCAGGCTGGTTTTGAACTCCTGACCTCGAGCAATCCCGCCGCCTCGGCCTCCCAGAGTGCTAGGATTACAGGCGTGAGCCCCGCCGGCCTGGAGTTTATTCTTACATATGATATGAAAAAATGAATACAATTTATATTTTGCTAAATGGCTACCTAGTTTGTCCCATCATTTCCTGAAAAGATCATCTTTGTCCTCATTTTTACAGATATCCCCTCTGTCCTAAACTGGAAGTCTATATGTAGCTGTATTTATTTCTAGACTTCCTATTCTATCCCATTGGTCTGTTTGTCTAGTCGTGCACCAGTATCACATTGTTTTAGTCACAGAGACCTTGTTATATGATTTAATATCTTTCAGGGCTAGTCCCACCTCAGAGCTCTTTCTTGTCAGTGTTTTCCTGCCTAGTCTTGGGCACTTTTCCCCCATGAACTTTAATATCAACTTGTCTTAATCTTTAAAAATATTCATTGGTACTTGTATTGGGGTTGCATTAAATTTATAAATTAACTTTGGAAGTACTGCCATCTTGATCAAGTTGAGACATGACAAAAACAAGGCATGTTATTCCATTTGATCAAGTTATTGACACTTTTAGATCTGATATTCTCTCTTACATAGATAACTCAGGTCATTAAACAGAATAATAAACATTTATTGAGCAGCTATTATGCCTTGACACTTATTAGTACTACAGAAGTAAAGCAGTAGGCTGTGTCCTCAAGCAGCTTAGAATTTCATGAGGAAAAACACACTACCGGACCTATTAGTAAAGCCATCTATTCAAGACCCTATGTAGGCCGGGCACGGTGGCTCACGCCTGTAATCCTAGCACTTTGGGAGGTGGAGGTGGGCTGATCGCTCAAGGTCAGGAGTTCCAGACCAGCCGGAGCAAGGGCGAGACCCTGTCTCTACTAAAAATACAAAGAAATTAATTGCCCAACTAAAATTATATAGAAAAAATTAGCCAGGCATGGTGGTGAATGCCTATAGCCCCAGCTACTCTGGAGGCTCAGGCAGGAGGATGGCTTGAGCCCAGGAGTTTGAGGTTGCTGTGAGCTAGGCTAACGCCACGGCACTCTAGTCCAGGCAACAGAGTGAGACTGTCTCAAAAAAAAAAAAAGTAAAGACACTCCCTGTTGTACAGCGAGACCACACACGCTATGTGAACTCAGAGGAAAGGGAGAGTAATGAGGGCTGGAATAATAATGCATTGAGACTGGAATCCTGTGCCCTGAAGACTGTGCAGGTTTAGGTGGGACAGCAAGGAGGAGGAGGTAATCTCAGCGAGGAGGAACGCTGGCAGGGACTCAAGAGGTGGCCTGAGTGAGACTTGTTTCACAGGGCAGAGGGCCCCCAGCCAGGCTCTTAGCCCGACTCCTGAGAAAAGCAATAACCCTCTCTTTAAGCCTGAGAGAGTGATGCCTCTAATGTTAATAGTTCTAAAATCCTAATTACGTATTCATGAAAATTATGCTAGTGAATGTCTGCTAGGTTTCCAGAGACCATTTAGAGTGGTAATTTGCACACCATTACCTTTTTAGGGCGTGGTCTAGAGTCGTGTTGTGTGTTCAATGCAGCGGCTTCTAGCCACATGTGGTGCAGCCCTTCTCGACACGGATAGTGCAACTGAGAAACTGAATGTCTTATTTAATTTTAACTCATTAAATTTTGATTTTTAAATTTTAAAACAGAAGCTATATAAAATATTTTCCCATCGAACTTTGTTTTGAAAGGGCTACATTTTACTCTAACTATAGCACTGTGCAAGATATTATTGTTATATGGCAGCATGTGTGTGTCCATCTTACTTTAACCTGACTAATAGAAAATGTAAATGATATGCATGGCCACATTGTATTTCTCTGTGACAGCAATGGTCTAGAGCCTCACGACACCCAATGGGATCGTCAGGATCTGCACTTGATAAGCTCCCAAGGGGATTCTTATGCGCAATAAGAGAAGCACTGACATGGAGGATCAGAGAAGACATCAGTCTTTGGTAGGTGCCTAGCATGCCCCCATCCTACTGGGGTTGGGGGCAGGAGGCCTCTGCCTGCCATTGTGACATCACAGAGTAAACCCCCTAGGTCACCAGACCCCGCCCAGGCCGGTGTCCTGCCTTCAGGACATCCTTTCCATCCTCTCCAAGCCATTCACACCAACTCCCCCCTCTGCTGGCAAGAGGGGACCTGATTCATCCTCACACATAACACCATTCTACCCGACTAAGACAGAGCAGAAGAGAACTGAAACTTCTTTGCCTCTGCACTTCAAAAGTGAATGAGCAGTCCCTCTCAACTGATTGAAAATGTTTACCTCACCCAGGAGGTAAGTACATTGATTTTTGAAATCTCGTGCACATCTCGTATATATTGTACCCCTAGGGTTGGGTTTCTAACATGGGTTATCCTAATTCATCCATTCAGTTTATTTCACATGCTCACATTAAGGAGCTTGAGAACACACTGTAGGATTATACAAAATGTGCTACTTTCACCCAGTTTTTACCTATGAACCTGGTGTGTCCATACCTTGGCCTCTTGCTTTTTCATTTCCTTCATTTAGACTTCCATTTCTTCTTCCTTTGCCTTTTCATCTTCCTTTCCCTCTTTGTTCCCAGGGCTGTTTAGAGTCCTCTCGTTTCCTTTTTCCTTACATCTGCATAATTCCTGTTGCCAAAATCTGGTCCCTGGCAAAGACCCAGTGGTGGTGGCAGTGATAGAGACATGTCACCCTAGTGAAGTAAGACAGCAAACGTTAAGTTCTATGCCTGAGAAGAGTGAAGAAGCATCGCCAGGGTCCTGCTGGAAGCCAGCTCTGGGCTGGAACTGGGAAGGAGAACACAGCCTGAGGCTCTGACAGGTCTTAGAGAATTCAGGGATCCTTCCAGACCCTCATAGTCCGCAGAGAAGTCTTGCTTATTTAGGATGGGCCCCTCCTCTAGAATGACCAGGCTCCCTTCATGCTGACAACCGCCAACTTTTAGCTCAAAGGGTTACTAAAACAGCAAACAGGGCTCCTTCTTCAATATCTTGATTTTCTCAGGAGAGAAAAATGACGTTTACAATTAGCCAGCAAACTAAAGTGGGCACACACACACAGCTGGACACGGAGAGCAACGTGGTGTGCAGTTGAGCAGTGGGAAGTTAAGAGACCTCGGAAGAAAGGCAGGATAACCCCAGGAAGAGGCGCTTCTGGGGCTGTGGAACAGAGCTGGTGACTCTGAAGAGCCATGCGAGTGTGGGTTCGGGTGGCTTCCCGGATTCAGAAGAAGCCCAGAGTGAATAGATCAGAAAGAAGTGGATGTGAACAAGGCAGAAAAAGCCAGTCAGGATTTAGAGTAGATTTTATTGTGGGGTTTTTTGTTTTTTTTTTATTGTTGGTTTTCTAGAAGAGACCCATGGAGGAATCTGGGAGAGTCTGTTTGCTAATACATACCTGAGGGGTATAAAGTCCGCTTAATCCACTGCCTCCTTCTGTGGGAGTTTCCACAATCTAGCCTGCAATCTGTGACTTTTGTTAAAGGTGACTGTGCCCTCCCTTTTCCTGAGTGGCAGCCCGGTGGTGAGTCACCCTTGCGGTCTTTCGAGGTTGTGAATGTTGACTCCCCCATTACTAGCTTAGTGGCCTTGAGCAAGTCAAAGGCCTGGAGTCTGAACCCTCACCGGCAGGAGGGAGAGGCCGCCTCTCTCTCCTTCAGGCCGGTTGGGAGGACTACAGGCCGTGTGTGAAGGGTCCTCATTTCTGCTGAGAGGCACTCTTCCTCTACCTCTTTTGATCTCCTCAGGAGAACCGTGAAGGAGGACCACTCTTTCCCCACGTTTATTTACATTTAACGCTCTGCGAGGTTAACTTGGCCAAAATCGTCCGTCGAGGCATGGGGAGAGCCGCACTACTAGAACTCAGATCTGCTGAGGGGTCGCGGTCACTTAGTGTCGCCCCTTAGACCCCCCAAATGAGGCAGAGGCCCTTCCTTTAGAGCAGGAGCTGGGGGCCGTTAGGAGCCGGGGCGGGGATGCCTCACCCTGGAGTCCAGCACCCCCACAGCCCCTGACCCCGGGCCCACGGGCCTGAATGCCAGGGATCTGTCCAATGTCGTCTCTCCCCTCCCTCCTGCCAAGCCCTGCCAGGCCGCAGCGGCGCGCCCCCCGCCACCAGGCTCCCGGGCGCACGCCTTGGGGCCCTGGGCCGCCCGCCCGCGCCTGAAGCCTGCGCCCTGGGCGGCCCGCGGGCCGCGGCGCTCAGCCCGCGCAGGGGCGGGACAGGAAGAAACCAAACAATGCAAAACACGCCCGGCGCGTCGCCCTGGCAACGCGCGCTGTTGCTAGGCGACCGGAGCGCCGTAGTAAACCCGGCGGGAGCCCGAGGAGAGCGGGCGGGGGCGCGGCTGGGGAGGCGCGGAGAGGGCAGGAAGGGAAGGGACGAGGCGGGGCGCCTGGCGTGCCCGCCGCCGCCCCCCCCCCGAGTGTCCCCTCCTGCCTCGCCCCGGGGTCCCCGGGAGCCCCCGCCCCAGCCGCCCGCGGGCGCCGTCACCCGCGCGTGAGCGATTGCCCCACAGGATGTGCAGATGTGGCTGCCCCTCTGATTCACTCCAGCTGCTTGGGGCCTGCAAGAAAGGCGGCTTCCTCTTCTGGAAATGACTGCATTAGCAAAAGCCCTCAAACAATCCCATCAGAAAGCGGAAAGGGAAAGGCGAGAGCGAGGCCCCCAAAATGCTTCTCTTTGGTCCTTCCCGCTGAACATAAGTAGCAGTGTTCCCAGAACTCTGGACCCACGTTAGGAAGACTGGAGTGGTTTTTATTGTGTATTTGGAGTTAGGTGGGCCCTTAAACATGGTTACAGCTGAGAATAATCAAACCAAAGCTAGGAAATCCCAAGCTGGGCATCCTGGACTGTTGTAAACATTTTAGACACTGAGCACAGGCATTTTTGGTGGCATTGCTCTTCCTTTCAGGCTGGGAGGCAAAAGTCAAGATGTCCTGTGTGGAGACTTTCCTTATCTCCATCAGTGAAGGAGTCAAATATCGGGCACTCACATAAATGTAGTAATGAGAGCCGCAAAAATCTCAGAAAGTTTGAGATCCATCATCCAAAAGGGCTTTGATTGGTGGGGAGTCACCCAGCGTGGAAAAAGACATAACATTTCCAATCTGTCACTGGCTTTTGAGCCGTCTGTTTGTCCCCAGGTCTCTGTGAACTAAAGATAATACTGGTTCATGAGATCATTGCTGTTTTCTGGGCTTTGCTCATGGAAAAGCAGGAATGTTTTCACAAGTGAGAGGAAATGTATTGGCAGAGAGTCTGTTTGATGAAACTCTGGGTGTATCTGTGCAGAAGGGCTTAGGGTGTGTCCTGTGGACCTGTGGACCCCTCTGTAGTTTCTCACTGCTCTTATAGATGTGAATCAGGAAGAATCCTGTCTCCCTTAGCAACAGAAGGCTGTTTGGACACACTTCCTTTATTCACATCTTCACCCTTAGGCTTCCTGATTGTGTCTTGCCAGCTTTGTTTGCGTTACAAACCTCAAATCCATTCGTTCATTCATTCCTAGATATTAAAACACTGCTAGGCTCTGATGATCAACAATGAATAAAAAACTGGTATTCTATCAAGCAACTTTAAGTCAAATGAGCATAACTGACAAGTGATGAGTTAGAACATGCAGGTGCAAAGAACAGGGGCGTGTTGCTCACAGCCAGGGACGGCCAAAACATGTACACTCCACTCCAGCCCTTTGTCTACTGAGTGACAGAAAGGAGTTAATGAATGGGCTGCAGATCAGAACTCTGGCTCCTGGGAGAAGGACAGAGATCCAGGAAAGGCAAACAAACGTTTCTTGGAAGAAGATGCCAGTATAGATAACAAGGAAAAAAATCCCACTGGAGCCCTTAGCTCCGGGCTCTGGTGTTAGGGAAGTGGCGTAGGGCACAACCTGCTCTGTCCCAGCGGTCTTACCCATCATTTAGTCACCTCCAATCTCCAGTGTACTCACCAAACAATAAATTGAATTCCCATTTACAAAGTATGTGTAGGTGTCCCAAGACCATTGTTTCTCTTTATGCACACCTATAAATGTGATTTTGTAGAGTATAGGAATAGTGACTGAGGGCCTTAGCAAGTATAAGTTAGGCCCCACCCTTGACTTTGTGATGTCATAAACGGTGAGGCGCGTCCATATCCTTGCGGAGGTCATCTTGAAATGGTTAACAGTCCAACATACCAAAGTTAAATACTGTTTTGAGAAGTGGAATCTTTCGTGTCTGTGCTGAGTCATGAGCTTCTAGGCCTGGCCTAATTATATTTATGTTGCATTGACACCAGCAATTACTTTTGCTGTTCTAAGAGAGGAAAGGGAAGAAAAAAATATTAGCATGCCCAAATTACAATGAAAGGAAGTGAGTAGGATGCTGGGCTCTGATTTTTGTGGCCAGGCAGAGAAACTCATGTTTTGTCAAAAAGAGGAAATTAGACATTGTAGCCCAGGGTCCTTGGGGAGAGCAGACTCGAGCCTGGTCACATCCAGCAGACGGCCAGCCGAGCACACGTACACTCAACGGACAGCCTCCTAAGGGGTGGGTCCAGGCTCTGCGGAGACCTAAAATAACATAACGTTGGAGGCCCTCTTTAAGAAATATAATACAACATTACAAGTACAAATTGGGTAACAGGATCTTGGAAGGGGCCAAGGGAGTGGGGGACCGTGAAGCTGAAGTTTCATGAGCTTCACTCTCAAGCCACCTCTGAGCCTCCTCATGTAACACCCTTTAAGACGGCCACTCCCGTCCCCTTTTCCCTGGAGAAGGCGGACTTCAGGCCATTAAGGCATCGAGGGCGCGGTTTATGAGCAGAGGCAGTAAAATCCGAAGACCATGAGGCTGTGCCAAACGGTGACTCAAGCGGGATGTGAGAAGCGTCTGCAAGTATTTGAAGGGTGTAAGCGCATAGAAGGGAAAAGAATTGCTCACTGTTCTGGGGTGGAAGAGAATGAGGATACTATTAAGTAAAGAAAAATGTGCACAAAAACTCATCGGGAAACATCGACTAACTGTATTGTTTGATACCGTGGTGTTGTATTTCCCATGGGAAGTATTTACTGAGTCACTGGAAACTGGAACTGGCTGCAAAAAAACTGTGCTACAGGAAACAATCCTACAAGACGTCCTCCAGGGAGTGGCTGGATGCCCCCAAATTCCATTCTGAGCCCTGGATTCCATGAGGCTGACACATGGCACTCTGTAGATTAGCAGGCGGGGAGGAGGCCAGATGAAGAAAAAAAGAAACCCACAGGGAGGGGCAGCCGCCTCCACTCACATGTTGCTGACTGGCAG